CATCCAGGTACTGGCCAGGCTCGCAGCTGCTCAGCTGCAGTGGGCTGCCCGTTGTGAGCTGCAGGGCAGTGCAGCTGCTGGAAATCAGACCTGAGCGGAAAAGCGCGAGAGGGAAATCTGCCTCAGCCTCACCCTGATGACGAGGTAGCGGGGCGGGTCCCTGGCCATCCGAGTAAATTCGTTAGCCAGCTCCTTGAAGGTGGGCCGGACGTTCTCGTCAATCATCCAGCCTGCCAGTGGGGGAATAGCATCATCATCAACACAAGGAGACCATTACTGTAATGCCCTACTCGCTGGGGTATCTAAATGCACACTGAACAAAGTATGTCCAAAAGTCAGCAGCCAGAATCCTGACCAGGTCTAGTGCAAGTGATCACATTACTCCTATCCTGGAGCCCTTGCACTGGCTTCCTATCAGGTTTCGTGTCAACTTCAAAATCCTACTGCCCAACTATAAGGCTCTGCATGGCTTGAACCTGGGTATCTACCTGACCTATTATCTCCCTACTCCCCACTTCACAACCTTCACTAATTCTGGTCTCTTGTCTGTCCCCCAAACCAGTCTACACTCTATGGGTGACAGGGCTTCTCCTGTTGTTCCCAAAGATCTGGAACTGGATATCCTTAAGGATATCAGAGAGTCACCTTCCCTAAACTCTTTCAAATCAAGACTCAGAACCTCCTTCTTTAGAAGGGCTTTCATTGCATTGCTTTGAAATGGTAAAATCCTGCTGTTTCCTCTCATTGTGTGTTTTCCTTACTGTAAAGCACTTTGAGAAGTCACTTTTCAAGGCACTAAATAAAATAATAATAATAATAATAATAATAATTATTATTATTATTATTATTATTATTATTATTATTATTGTTGTTATTGTTGTTATTATTATTATTATTATCATCTGCGTGGGCTGGCAGCTGATTGTGTCACTTGGATACGGGTGCTAGCTGAAGGCTCAGTTCATTCACTGAACTAGCAGGTGGTTTAAATAATCCAGATAAAGGGATCTTTAATCAATAACATAAACTCTGAAAGACCAGGGTGCTCCCGGACAGGCCTTAAGGCCAGTACTGTTCATTTGTATTGCATTTTACTTTTCATGCACTGCAATTTCACTGTACTCTACTCTACTGTGACCACGGTAGCCTGTGGTAAGAGCGTGGCAGACTCACACTTGACCATGACCATGTACACATCGATGGTGCAGATGGGCGGCTGAGACAATCGCTCTCCCTTCTCCAGCAGGTCCGGCACTTCTTGTGGCCGCATGGTGGAGTAGGGCTCCGCCCCGAATGACATCATCTCCCACACTGTCACGCCTGCAGGCCAGTGCAGAACGCCATGAACACAGCACAGAGACACATCCACACTGTACAGAACAGTCACAAACACACACAC